ACATCAGCCAAGTCCCAGTGTCATTGCCAAGCAGCACATTCAGATTTGTGAGGCCTATTTGTACACAAGGTTAGCAAGCTTCACTATCATGCTTCAGTGGAATAGCTGTGACAAGGACAAACTCTGAAGGCGAAGTCTGACAGGCAGACACTTTAGTAAGTCATACCTGCAAACCATTCACTTGGCAGAAGTCCTTAATTTCAGCCAGCAGAGGGACCAACATAGTGGATTTTGCCTCAGATACACCATCAATTCTCTTCACATTCTCAACGCTCGTAGGCCTGGTTTAGGAGGAATAATAAAAACCATGGAAATTTCCTACGCCAATGCTTTGAAACATCAAGAGTCTGTTAGTGACACATGCTTGGACTACAGATCTTAGTCAAAACTTGAAAAAGTCATTACTGTACCCTCATCATCTCTGCAACTAATTAAGTTCACCGCACTTTTGAATCATGGAGCTTGGCCACAGCAAAAACTTCAAGGTTGCTGCTTAATACTTTGGAAGATCAGTTTACTATTTGCTTTGACCTCGCAAGAGCACATAAGCCAAGAGCTCTTCTATGGAACAACAACATACACATTCCAAAAGTAATATTGTCTAATGCCTTTTAGTATCCATGGAAGGCACTTCAGATGCATTACCAAATGAGCTGCCCCACAATGCCCTCTCATACAATGAGGAAAAAAAAAGAATTTTCCCTTTTTTTCAGTAGTTGAGAGCAACACTAAATTGTACTTGTTCTTCTACACTACAGAGCTACCCAGGCAAGGTAAGGGACAGCTCCTGACCTGTAGCTGACCCTTAGCAGGATAAGGGCATACTAAAATGATTAAAACACATCAGAGAAGCACATGGAAATGTAAAGATCAGTAGAAAACATACATCTTCCTCTGACTGGTCAACCTGACAGGTTTAGATACAAAGACAAACAAAGATTGTCATTTGGTTTTTTTTAATAATAGCTAGAGTGAAGGGGCAAGTGTGATGTCAATAACTGTTTAACTTGCACCAGTCACTGGCCTACAATGGTACTAGAGCAAACAGAAATCCTCAAGACAAGAGCTGCTCTTCTACCAACGAGGCATACTCTCCCAACAAAAGCAGAAAGGGGATTTGTGACTTGGCTTGCAACCTTCTCAGTTTGTACAACATGTATGCATGCTGGCTTTACCTGATTCGGGCCATTTCCACCAGGACCTTATTGGTTGCCAAGACAGCTGGAGGAATTGCCTTCTCATTAGCTACCTTCTGTCTAGCAGTCAGCAACTTGCCATACAGAGCAGTCTGTGAATAAGAGCCAAATTCTCATGAAGCAGCTCTAGGTCACTCACATAAGTATGATTAATATGACAGGAAAAGTTACAACTTCCATCATCTTTCCACTAATACACAAAAATCCTGCAATCCATGAATTCATCTTGTCATATTTACATCTTCTTCTATTCAAAACATGTCTGTACTATTAAGAGCTGACCAAGCCAGCTGCTCCGATACAGGAGGACTACAGTCTGCAATTCGGATACCCCGCCTTTTCCAAACACTTACCTCTAGTTCTTTTTCTCGGGATGAAACAGGTTCTGAGGGCTTCAAAGGAGAAGATTTCACCAGTGAGTGCTCCGCACCACTACCAAAAAAGAAAGAAACAAGAAACAAGCCCTGCATCAGATCAATTTATTCAGGAACTTTTCACAAGGCTGTGGAAGAGCAGCAGCCCAACTTATTCTGCCTGCTCTCAGACTGCACCATCAGACTGTGGTCTGGCACCTCATGCTAGCACTACACTCATACAAGACTTGAGCTGGTTGGGGCAAAATCAGCAGTATCCCTAATCTAACAGAATTCCTCTGTGTCTGGTCCTGTAACTTAGAAATACCTCTTACTGTCCAAAGCTCAAGTAGATAAAATTGCAGGTTTGTTGAAAAAAAAACCAAACCCACTAATATCCCTATCTACAGCTCAATTCCCATATTGCTAACCAAAGCATGTTCTTACAAGCACTTGTCCGTTCATGATGCTATTCTGACAGCATCCCATGAGAAACACCTTACATTTTCCCCCATGGCTGATAACATTAATCCTGGCCAAAAAGAGCTAATAACTTCAAAAGCATCGGTGACAAGGACACGCCAGCTGTACACAGAATTAGCCATTGTTATCGCTAGGCATGTCTGCCTAGAGAGCAGCACAACAGCCACCAGTCCAGGGGCTCATGTACTTAGGGACATTTACCCCTAATTAGACTGCTATGATCATACTGCAATATCCGTTAGCAGACAAGCTGGAGTAAGAGCATCCTTTCCTAATCAAAGTGTGAAATAACACTTGGTTTTGATTGTAGCTGTCCCTAAAATGATTTTTCTTCACATGGCTACAGTAGCATATATTCAGCTGAAGTGACATATCCAATTTACTGTTGTCTGCCAGCACCAGGCTACTCACCTGAAGGAGGAATCAAACTGCTCAGAAATGCAAGTGGGTTTAATCAGAAGCACCACACAAGCCAGGGAGACAAATTACTTGATCTGCTTTTTGCAAAAGCTTATTTCTTTTTACTTGAGGAAGCCTCATCTTGATCTGTCTCCTCCAGACTAGCATAGAAAAGCAGAAACCTACATGCTTACTTACAGCCTCTGCACAAGGCACACATTCAGTTCTTCTGCCTTTAAGAGCAAGTCACAACTTTGTCTTTTTGCGTGAACTACATTTGCAAACTGCTCAAGAAAAACTATTCTCTGTTTCTTATTTTAAGTCATCACAAGTTCAAATCTATTACAGGTTTGACCATTGCATAGAAGAGACTACAGAAAACCTGGGCCCAGTAAAACTACCCAATATAAATCTGCTATTGCTCCATTTTTCTCAATATTTGCTCTTTTTCTTGCTTGGATTTGATATAGTACCAGTAAGAAAGTTTGCACTTCAGCAATTAATAGCTTGCTTTGCCTGTGACACTACAAATATGCACAAGTTGTCAAATTCAGCAAAGCCTGTTAAATGTTGTAATAGTTCAATATTTTGAAATATAATGCAGTGTACAGAGAGGTTTAAGTGCTTGACTTCTTCATTAATATATTCAAGATTTTTTACCATCACCTCACATATGAGAATGCTGGTTTTAAGGATCACCCTACAAACACTATCCCTATTAACACAGTCAAAATCAGGTAATTTGTTTTCGCTTAGAATACTGTACCTGTTAGGCCTGTTATTGCTTCTTGGAGGAGTTTTACCTTTTCTCTCATATGAAAACATATCATACAGAGACATCTATAACAAAACAGAAGAACAAGACAAACAAACGGTGATTTACCAGTCTTTCTGCTGAAGCTGCTGTTAGCAGCAAAATATTCTTTTGTGACACCATGATACACTTACAAGATTTTTTGAACACCAACAAGGATGGACCAGAGTGGTCCACAAGGAGTTGTACTCATACAGACCTGCTTGACTGGTGACTGTGTTGTTCCTTTTTTGTCTGGGGAGCGCTGCATTGAGAGCACAGGTAAAGGTCTACTGCTGTAATGAAATTATATCAAATAAGACATCACCATTTAAAAAATTAACATTTCGCTAAGAAAACTGTTTGAACTTGGTACAGGGAAATCTTTGGAAAAATCAAAAGTTCTTACTGATTTTTTTAAATTATTGGTATCACCATTGCTTGAAAAAACACACAAAGCCTGTCAATATTAAAAGTTTAACAAGCAACAACAATCTTGTCATATGGAAGAAACAGATTTTGGTGACAAAAGTGTCATTTTTGTGACAACACTTGAAAGACTTCATTTTAAAGATCCATTACCAGAGAGAACAAGTACCAACTTCCTGGTTTGCCCTAAGCACACAGCTTTTACTGTTACTTACTGTTTAATAATGAGTAATTTTTTTTTCCTAGAAGACCCATAGACAGCAGCTGAAAGCCACAACAGCGGAATATTAGAAGGCAAAAAGAAAATTGGTACTTAGTCATTACCCAATTTAGTTATTTTTTAGCAATACTGAGACAACCTAGACACCAGAACAGGCTCTTAAGGCCAGCACTGAACAGCTTTGTTCTAATATTATTTCTTGTCACAGCAAAGCCTCTGCAACCTCCCTTTCACTTTAAAAGGGTTGGCCAGAATGAATGTTTGTGAAGACCAATACAACCTTGTTAAATATAAGCAGAAGCAAAAGATTACAAGAAAGCTTCTCAGGCTATTTTCTTAGAGCTATATAGTCTGATGACAAATACCTGACCATCACTGAAAAAATCCCCACTTATGCAGACATTCACCACTCTCAATAGTTAAAATTTCACAAAAACACCTCCACCAAGACAGATAAACTATGACCTATTTGTGTACTATCAATTCTTGTTAGAATAAGGGCTTTTCAGTTTCATTCTCAGCTTAAATTTTATGAAAAAAGTAGGTCAAGTGCATAATTGGGAAAACAAATTGTTAGCTGCTCTATTAAAAGTCTTATGGTTTAACTCAGCACTAGAAAGAACATAATTCTTGATGGATTTTCCTCTACTGTTTCTTGTCTTTAGCTGATTACTTTCTCCATAAGGATAGATTGCCACAACATGCTTCCAGGCTATGCAGAAACATTGATTACAACACACACTTTCTGACTATTTTTGGTAGTTTCTGTGAACTACATTTCCCCACTAACCTTCCCAGTTATGTGACCTTCTGATCAGCTCCAGTAAAGACCTCAGTGATGAGGCACTTCAGATTTAAGCTGAAGCCACGCACTCTCAGGAGGACAAAACTTGTCACCTTTCATACGAGCAGTCGATAGAGGTGTCTATCCAGGTACTCCCACTGACTTTTTTTGTATTATCATACTGCCTAAGGGAACGCTTTGGCTAGAAAAATCAAGCGCAGAAGTCTGCTGTCCAACCTAGCCATCTCCAGGAGCAGAACTCAAACTGATGATCTGATGTTAAATTAGTAAACAAGGCACTCGAGAACAGATGTAGTATAATTACCTTCTAGGAGGTTTCTGCAGATTAAGGTCTTCGCTGGACTGTAATAGAAGACTTGGGTTTGAGGCAGATCCAGCTTTTAACAGCCAATTCCTACCCTGTAAGAAATAAACCATGTGGCCTAGCTATAGATTACTCAGAGAAGCTTTTGATGGGCAGCTTCACACCAAAAAGTACCTTCTGGGTAAGCATGCATGTGGTTGCAAACTTGCTGTGTCCAGAGACTTCTTTGAGGAATCCTTCCATTATCAACTGTAGGCAGAGCGATTTCCACCAGTTCTCTGACCAGTCTTTTCCACTACCAAAGAGAGGGTGTCTTCGGTATCTGTCCGGCAAGCGCTGAGAACTCTGGAATTATTGAAAGAAGTCAGAACTGTCCAGTCTTTGTGGAAGAAAGTTTCCAATATAACCAAAAACACGAGATGCAAGGAGCATGTCCTCAAGCATGTTTCTCCACAGAGTAACTTTTCTGTTAAGTCACAAGCCAAAACATTTTATTCAAGTTTATATAATACACATTACAATAACCACACCTGGAGCACCTCAATGATTTCTAGTCACCTAGAGCATAAACCATGCCTATTGCTTCATTCATGTCACCTGAAGAGCAGTTTCACCTCTGCTAACCTAATTCACTCCTGCGCTTTCTGCCAAGGCTGTGATGAGATCGTGACTTTCCTTTGCAGTAAGACCCCAGACAAACCTACACTTAGATCGCAGAACTGTTAAAACTGTTAAAACACCTCCCTCCATATATGGAGGAGGTTACAGGAATGACCCAGCCATCCACAGCAGTGAAGAAATTCAGTCATCTAGTACAGCTTGTATTCAACCAGGTCAACCTTACATTGCATGAGTTCAAACAGAAGCAGTTACCTTTTTAATTAAAAGAGCCTACAGAAGTAAAAATAAATTTAAACCCCTGTTTAAATCCCAGGACAGGGGTACAAAACCAGAAGCAAGTTCACTGCAGATGTCTGCTCTACCCCTCCTCCTCTGGCCTTCATTGCAACATGGGGTTTTTTTGTTTGTTTCAAGAAGTTGCTGATTTACTCATCTTACCAATGGTTCAGACCCTAAAAAAGCTGATTAGCTCCTGTCTGATGGGTTCTCACCCCCCCAAACTTGTGACTCAAATGGATGGCAAAGGCTAAAACCTTTGCAAGGGCTAATGCCCCTTTCACAAGGAGGGAAACTCCTGGCATGAGCCTGAAAAGTAATAACTTCTCTGAAACAGAGAAGTTAGAGAGGATTAAGCATTAGCAGGTAAGAGTGTCTCAGACAGAAGTAGTTTCAATTTATTGCTAGAATACAAAATGAACGTGAAGGCAGCTTCAGACCCTGTTATTGTAGATTTGCTGAATTCCTCTCCACTGGGGAAACTACATGTAATTTTTATATATACACGTGGATGTGTATACACACCAATTGTATCCCCCAGAAAGCATATGTGCACATATATACTCATCTGTGATGCTGGTTAGGTAAGGACATCCCATGGGAGGCAGTGGTGGTGGGAAAAGCAGCAGGAGGTGTGACTAACAATTATAATCTTGGACAACAGAAGACAGTGGGGTGGAGGCTTGTCTCTTGCCATTTATAGGGCTGGTTGTTAACACAGGTTTTCCAGGTTCCTCTTAGTACCCTTCATGCTAAGCACTATGCAAACACAGAGCACCTATCCCCAAGAACACAGTTTTCCTTATAAAGGAAAATAGATCAGGCTGATGTAAAAGCAGCAGCCAAGTGAAAGAAATTCAAGACAGGCAGCAGTCAGTGCATGGCAGCCTGCTGGACTCCCTACC